AAAACAAAGATACGAGGGGTGGTGGTGTGCCTGCCGCCATGATTTGCCTGCCGCCATGATCCTAGAGATCCAAATGCAATAGGGTATATCCATACTGCTGATAATGTCCGTCCGGATATAATGTTCACCAGTAACCAAAAACATGCAACTTGGCATGCTCGCGTCAACGAAAGTAGGAAGAAAAGCTTGACATGGCGTATGCGAAACAGTGCGAAGCTTGGAAAATGTACAATAAATGACGAAAAGAAAAAGAGTCGCGTGGCAAGAATTGGCGATCGTATCATGCTATGCATGGGTCAGATCAAACATCATCGTTAAATAATATTCGCGATGCTCAAGCGGTCGTTGCCCCTCCTTGGCACATTAGGAGGCGGGCTCTTAGCCATGGGCCGGGCATAATTGGGTTCCGACGTGAGTCGGGGAGGCTCCGGGTGCTTGGTAATGTCCAACCCAGCCGATACTGGCGGTTCGCTCTTAATCTTTTGTGCCGGCAACGGTGTCCATCCGGCGTTGTGCGAGGTCAGAGACCTGACAGTGGACTCGAGGTGCTGCCATCCTCCCCATTCTCGCTGCTCCGAGTGTGTGAGCCCCGTGCGCTGCTCCAACTGGAATATAGAGCTGATCGGGGCTCCTGGAGGCTTTGGTGAGCTCGTCGCCATCGGCTCGGATCTCTCAACCATTGTCCAGACCCACGTCCTGGACGGAGCGGCTTGCGTGTCGGCGGACACATACACCAAGAGTTCCTCGTCTCTGGTAAGTGACAACAAAAGGGCAGAGTTGTCAGCCTGGATTCGAGATTGCGGTATTGAAGAAGAGCCGGTAGTGCGGGCAATGTGGCTCGCGTGTTCCGCGCGTTTCGAGGCCAAAATGTTGGCAAAGAACGACAAGTAACGCCCGCAAGGCGTCACCACATCACGGAGTGCTTCAATGGAGCCCAGCGCCCGCGTGCAAGTGATGGCCTGGTCGAATTGCCCTGCCATGAGCAGGAACAAAGTGCAGCGGAACAAATGCGTTGCTAGGAGCGCCGTTGCCCCCTCGGCAGGCGCATTGGTTCGAGCAATCAGCGAAGCCGTCTCCATGGCAATATGCGTGCAGCTCTCGACGGCTGCGAATCGTGCCTCTGGGCTGCAGCTAGGAGCGAGGTTGTGCCTGTGCAGCAACATTCGAACATGGAGTAGATAGGCCAGCGGCGGTAAAAAGTGCGGAGCTAGAGCGACGGTGCTCGACGGGTCGCAGGCCGGCGGAAATGTGTTCAGACACTTGCGAAAGTGGTTATCAAAGGCTGCGAGGTGCGCGGACGGGACTTTGGGGCTGTCAATCGCTTTCAAAACAGACGTGTACGAGCGCACAACATGAATAATAGCTAAAAGCGAGTGTGTCAATGGCTCAGCACCATTGGGTACATGCATCCCGTCGTCCCGCACGTAGTGGTCATCGACAGCAGCCGGCAAACGTGCATCGCAGTCGGCGTCGTTGATAAGACACGGATGGCCAAGCTCGGTCGAGAGCGTCCTGTCCAACACATACATTGCCCACCAGGTTCGACAACGCATTTCTCCCTCGATAATGGGGTAGTTTTCGGTGTCCGTGTAGAGACACAGATCCTGGCCGACGCGAATGGCATTGCCCAGCCAGTTCCATGCTGCGGACTTTAAGTTGATCTCGTCCAAGCAAATGGCGACAAGAATGTAGGTGCGGGCGTCGTCTAGCGTAAATGAATTGTTCCAGGGATCGATGAGGCTGCGAGCTGTATCGAGCAACTCAGCCACGCCTGTGGTTCTGGCAGGAGAATCGAGATTGAAGAGGGTTCCAGCGGCCAAGACGGCGAAGAACATTGAAAGCCAGGCAGCAGGCGCAGTTGCACGAGGGTTTCGGTACATGTCATCGACCATGGCGCGAAAGCTGGGCAGATGGATGATTGGAAACATTGTGTGAAGCGAGTTGTAGTACGTGTGCAAAAGCTGATCCGCCATGGCTCTTGGCGGAAGTTCGGGGATGGCGCACTCTCTGGGCGAATTCGACAAGTAGCGATGCATTTGAGGCTGCTTCCACACGCCCTTGGCCGCGCTGCGGAGGTTCGACCTAGCTCTGCCCAGCTCAGGCATTATTGGCCCACGTCGCTTGGGTCGCGGTTCGGGGTCGATGACGGGCATTTGATAGAGTGACGGATCGCCATTTTCGCCTTCCACATCCATGGAGACGTCTCGGTCCTGGAGCATACGCCGCAACTGTGTGTTGTCACGCTTGACTCGCTCAATTTGTTTCTCGAGATCTTGAACCTGCTTGATGGACGACATTCGTCGATTCGTTTCCTTGGTGAACTGACATTTGACGTTACGACTGGAACACTCCGAGCAGCTGGCAGTTTCGGTAGCGTCGCACTTGACCTTGCGCTCCCTGCAGGCATCGCAGCTTGGGTCTTTTCGTCGCTGGCGATATGCTCGCTTTTGTGCCTGGGCCCCGAGACCGCCTGAGAGAGACATGCCGCTATGGTGGCCCATGGAATCGTTGGAGCCGATTGATTCGCGCCCCATCATGCCTGATGGCACTGGCGAATAAGGCGGGAAACCATGGTTGACAGAGGGTAGCGACGGCATGCCGCCGAGATGCGGAGAATGCGCTGACAGATGAGGTTGCCCCGCGCCGTGGCGTAATACGCCAGTATACTGAGAATGCGGTCGAGGAGACGTGGCAGACGAGACAGACGAGGAATCGTACGATCGCGTCGAGAGATTCGGCGAGCGCGGGTATGAGCTGTGAGCCGTCTCAGCCATGGCGAAGGAGGCCACGAGTGACGTTTTGGATGGCGGGGGAGTGTAAGGGGAAAGTGAGTGACAACTGATGCGAGCTGTGAGATGGATGCGAGAGACGGGTAGTCTGGAGGCTGACGACGCGGGGAAGGGAAAAAAAAAAGCGTTATGCGATCGCTGTCGCTATTGCCGTTAGAGCGGCCGAGTCGGCGGCGACGGTGTGTCGAGTCCTGGCCGTCAAGGAAAAAAGGCAGCACGGGCTACGTATGGCTGAACGGGATTGGCTGTCGCAGAGCGAGCACAAAGGAATGCGAGGCAGAGACAAGTTTTGTGTGCCTGTCTTGGGCCCAAAAAGCGACAAGCCGTACTACAGAGACACAGAGCAAAAGAACCGCGGGAAGCAGCGGTCGGTCTTGCAACGCGCAGGTCAGGTATCAGTAGCTGTTGCCAGACTGATGATCCGGCAGTTTTGTACCAAGAATGGCAGGTTCGAGGTGACGTTGTGGCTCGGGCCGTGTTAAGCTCCAGCAAGCTGCAGGTTTGGGTGCTGCTGAGGTAAACGTGGCCGACAGGAGCCAGTATCGGTCCAGGCGGGAGTTGATGAGGATCGGGGTTGAAACGCCTGCATACAGAGTTGTAAAGGAAGTAAAAAGACAAAAAAAGGTGGTGTGACGGACGGATGGTGCAAAGGCAAGCGTCGACATCGGCCCCTCCACGTACATACATGGTAGAACGTAGACTCGGTACGGTGGCCCGTTTGCCTCACGGAAAGCGGGAGCTCCGTGGAAGGTTTCGGGGTGATCGGCTGGGGGCCCTTCTTTTGGCTCGTCTAGTTAGAATCGGAAATATTATTATCTCAGTGCTCCGTGACTGGGCCGGGGAGGGGTGTGGGTGTGTGGCTTGCAACAGAGTCGCGCGCGCGCCAGCGGCCACTATTTCTGGCAACTAGCGTGAAAATGCAATAATAAATGGAAGAAAGGGAAGTGCACAACAAGTTAGAAACACAGCAGGCCAGCAGGCCAGCACCGCAACAGCATGCCGGTGTGCGTGTGGAGGTGGCCAAGCAACCAGCCAGCCTACCAACTACCCAGTAGAAAACCTGACTGGCGCGTGAGGCGGGCAGCGTTGAGATCAGCTCAAGCCCGCTAACATGTTTCGAGTTTGAGGCGGTGGCCCCCCAGTGCTCCCCCAGAGAGACAACGCCCACCCCTGTTCTCGGCTCAATGGCGCTCTTCATTTAGGGTATCTGCTTGTCGGTACGTTGTATCGTCGCTAGCCCCGGGGGTGCATGGGAGTATGGGAGTATGGGTGTGGGTGTGTCCTGGGCCGTCGGCAACAGCACAAACCACGAGCTAACACAAGTGTTCCGACAGCCCCAGTGCCATGTCAGCTTCTGCATCCACGGCAGTGCACGTATTTGTGGTTTTGTGCTGTCGCAATGTCCGGCGCCATCATGTCAGGTGTGTTGGCTCGCAACCTCGCCCTTTTGCCGTAATAGCACTCAAGTGCGTGTATGTGGTACTGAGTACGGAGTATGAACGCCCAAATTGAAGCCCCTGGTTCCGATTCACTGCTGCTATTATTAAATACAACGTCAGCTTTGCCAACGATCCGCGGAGCGACATGTACCTGATCCCGTGCCACAAGGCAGCTGCCGGTGCATGTCTGGGCACGTTTCCCGCCCCTCCTGGTAATAATATAGCGGTGGGCCGTTGTCGAAGCGGAACTCTGCCGAGCAATCTCACGGGCTCTCAAAGCAGCGGCTCGTTTACCGAATAGTTGACTGTTTTCCATCGTCTGAATCCGTGAGAGCTGCACCGCTTTCGTAAGCATGGGTCGCCCACTGTCTCTGGCGTTGCCGTTATCATTTCTGGCGTTAAATACTGCAAACAAAGCGTGGCTATATTCGACGATTTTCAGGCCAAGCTTTTGCTTTGGCATGTGGCTCCAGGAGGCACGAGGCCCGACCTCTTCTGGATAAGATACGCGCAAGACAGAGACCCATTCGCTGATAGCTGGCAAACGCTGGTATGGCGCTTTAATTAACCTACTTCTAGGCCTTTGGTTATCCATCAAAGCTAGCCGGATTGTATGGTGGCTGTCGATCTGCACATGGCCCGAGTCTTGCGGCTGGGTGAGCGTCTGGCATACGACACCGCAGCTCACAAAGAAAATTCTTTTGGAGCTTGTGAGAAAAATCGAAAATCTCAGAGCAGGCTTGGCGGATGATTCTAGCCGCTGTGCTAGAATCTGTCCCTGAAAAATGACAGGTGTATCCGTAGGTGCGGTGAATACGCGTTTTTGACTTGGTTGATGGATAAAGGGATATGATTTGACAGCTTGAACGCTCTTATACGCGTTTTCCTCTTTATGCAATGAGGCTGCTCTGGGTCTTCCAGCAACCATAAGTCATACGATGTTCTAGTCTCGCTAGTTTTGATTTGGAGCATTGTCACAGCAGCAGCTAAGAATTCCACTTGTTGTGGTGGACAGGCTGGCTGAGGCTGCTGTGGCTTGCGATGGCGTTGTCTGCCAAGTTTCGTAGACATCAGCAGCATGTACTAGTGGCACTCCGCATGGGTGTCGATGATACGGCAGCATCCGGAGACCTTGTCAAGTTTTAGTTGCTCCCAAGATTTTTGTTTGGCGGGTACTTAGGCCGCGAACCGAATGAGCCGCTCGCTTCACAAAGCCCGAACATGATCATTGCCAGGGTTTGCTGAAGAATCATATGAAGTTGTTATGAAATTTCGAGAAGGGTCTTTGTAAATGACCTACGCAGTAGATTGTTGCGCGATTTACTGAATGGCGAACAAGATTGAGAACAATAAATGCACCTAAGCTGGAGTGGTGCAGAATGTTGGGCGTCAAAAAGTCGCGGACGAGTTGAATTATGAGCTGCAGCCCGATGCTGCTTGGTCTTTGTTACTGCTAGACTCCAGTGTTTTCCCGATAAATTTTCATTTTAGCGGTAGAATGCCGAACACACCGGAAACGCGTGCCAGAAGCAGACGAGCAGTTGATTCTGATAGTAGGTACGAAGTGACTTGATCACTGACAGAGACATGCGTCAGGTAAGACATAGCGCCGGCGATTCGGATGCTCGCCGGCAGGCAGATAGGCAGGCTCGGTAGGGTCCGTTTGATGGATGCAAGCGAGTACTTGGCGCATGGACAGAGTGAGTACGGGATTAGGGGAACAAGGATGGCCGGAGAGTTTGTCGCGAAAGGTGTGGGTAAAGAATTTGAGGTTACTGGTAGCGCTGTGGTGGTGCTGGTGGCTCTGATTAGCTAGACACGAGGCTTAAGCGGACGGGTCCTTGATTTAAGCAGACGGGATAGACAAGCCGGCCACGCCTGTTGGCAAGCATGACGCCAGGCGACCCCGACATCATACATCGTTCGAAGAGCTGATGGGGTTGCTGATGCTGATGATGGGTGCTAATTGATGGCGTGGCGGCGACCAAGGACGATGGAGGAGTGCCAGCGTACGTACGTAACCACGCCACGTACCACCTGGCAGAGGGTGTATTAGCAAACACAGCAGAAGACGAAGGTTAACAAGTCAGGGCAAGGTCGGTGTGATACGACGAGCACCTGAAGGCGGCAAGCGGACAGTTTGTCGGAATTGGTGGGTGGCAAGTGGCACATGGAAGCAAGGAGCGGAATGCAAGTCGCAGTTCATGTGGGATGCGAGAGCATGGAGATGAGGACGGAGATGGAGATGGGAGTCGAACAAACAGACGACAGAAGTGGGTGTAGGAGTGGATAGCTGTGGGTGAGAGGTGAAACTCTTAGCCGGCTGGTTGGTTGACTTCTGGCCGGCGGCCTCTCGAATGACGGGGGTTTTGAAAAGAGGCAGAGCTAAAATGACTGCTCAGACCGGGGGAGTCCAAATGAATGGGGCTAATTTGGCTTGGCTTGGTACCTAATCGAGGAGCTGACACGCGGCATTGTCAATTTACAGTATAATTCTTCCTTGCAGTGGGCTTTCTGATGCCCCTCAGTGGTTTCCAGTGGGCGGGGTGCCCAACGAGGTCCGCTGAACCGGACAATTGCCGCCAAATCCTCTGTATCTCGGGGGGCGGCTTAAAGCCTGCAGATTTCCACAGCACCCCCGGTAACTCCCCGAAAGCCCCTGTAGTATCCTCTAAAATCAAGCAATCACCTTCCCGGTTGGGCCTGTGCCGTTTCTGAGCTGAGAATAGCAATGAATCCTTGAAAGACGTGTTGCAGGCTAATTACTCCGAAACTACCTATCCGTTGCTAAATAGAGAGCTTTTGCCGTGTCTTGTTTCTTCCACGGCCATGGTTCCTGTTTGTAGGTGGAAAGTCTCCCGTACGCTCATGGAGATATTCACACAAAATCCATCGTAGCAGCAAAAAAAATTACTCACCCTTGGAAAGGGACAATGCAGGCCAAGTTTCACGGCCCGAGACCTCGCTGAATCTTCACGCATGCCTACTCTGTTAGTGCCGGCTAACTACTGTTGCAGCGTATACTGTTGATTACCTAGCGGTGTCGCCCCAGCCCTTCAGCACGTTTAACACACTTGCCCTTTGTATTTGACCCGTTACCAGGCCGCTAAACTCGCTGGAAGCCCACCTACCAAGCTGCGCATATAGGTACCTACACCATTGGCTTTCCTACTTGGCAGGCAGCATCACCTCATTCCTCCCTCGCCAAGCCCGCTTTCTCCTCCCACAATCCCTCGATACTTCCATCATTTGCTCCATGATGCCATCCAACACTAGCCACCACACATCTCCACCACTTCTAGCATTAGCTCGCTTCTCTCTGCCTCCCAGCCCGCTGCATCATCAAAAGCATGGCCATCTGCCAGCAGCCGTGCAGTTTGATAAACCAAGTCTAGGTCTGATGCATGCGGTACGATGCAAACATGGCCTCAACTCGCATGGGCCATCAACGACACAATGGTCCCCTAATCTACGGAGTACATGTGCTTTCATTAATCATGAGGACGCTCTCGGGCCCGAGCCGGCTTGATCAGTTGATAGTCGGTCGATTAGAAATCAATTCATTGGTTACGTTTTGTGCCAGCAACTCTCGAGCCCTTGTCCCAGTCGAAACCAAATCCACTGCACCCACCAATGCTCGCCGCTTGACCGCTTATCCGACACAAATCTTGTTCGCTCTACTTCGTACTCCGTACTCTGGACTCCGAGCAGCACGCACACGACATGGGAACGTGTGCACCACCATCGCAGCAAGCCTTGTCCGCGGCAGGCTCGGACGGACGGTATACCAGATCAAGCCCGTCATCTGGCCCAAGCTTGACTGCGCTCTGTGCGCCCACAGCTTCCAGAACTTCTAGGCCACCCTTCTAAATAACCTTCCACGCAGTGCGCTGTACGGGGTTCGGGAACCGTTTTTTGGCCCCTTGGCTTGGCTTGTGAAGCATTGGGCGTTATTTGCTGGTGTCCACCCACTGTCCACCACTGGACCCGTCGATTCCTTTCTCAAAATCAATAACGTAGCATTTACGGAGCTTTGAACCCTTGTACACATGTACAATCGGCTCCCAGGACCTTGCGGAGAACGGCCCCTGAAAACACCTAATTAGGACCAGACCCTAATAGTACTGGTGGAGTTTCCACTACCGATGAGCCGGTGTCGTGCTCTTGCAGATCCCGCACGACGGCCGAGTGTGAGCAAGCTAATCCGTGCTGGTTCATTTGGAGTCATATGCCATGCTCGTGGAGTTGTGGCCAGTCTCGTTCCTTGTACCAGACTAACTGCGGCAGAGAAACGCCGTAAAAGGCTGATAGTCCGTGGACCGGCTCCAGCCTCCTGGTGCAGCAGATCGATGCGACGGAGAGGGACCATTTCCTAGTCATCCTTGCAAGCAAAGCAGTAGTTACTGTGCTGCCATCAGCGCTTCAGCGCTCCGATTGCCCTGCCAAAGCTGCCCGCACGCATGATGTGCAGCTTGCTGCAACGTTATTCGCACAAAGCAGGCGCGATCAACCCGGCTACCGACTAGCCCATTCTTCTGCCAGTAACTAATCCCCACGGCCCTTTTACGGCTCATTTCAGTCGCTCGCGTTCTACGCGACACACCTGTCCTACTGGTACACAGGACTGATTGAATCAGGCTTCGTTCCACTGCGAGCCTAGGCTGCACGCACCTGGCCGCGTTTTCTAAAAACTCTGTCCCGCAGACGTCCCGCAGACGTAGCAAGCGCCCGTGGCCTTGTGAAGAGTCTAATTACGAATATGCACTCAAAGGAACAACATTCTCTCGGCCGCCTTGCCGAGTGGATCGAGCAGTTGCGTGCACATCGGGGCATACCAGCTTCTTTCCCAGTGCCTGCCGCAAAATCAATTTGATGGGACGCGAAACAACAAGTGCCGATGGATATCACAGGACTTACTCGCATGGTTTCTCCCTTTTCTCTACTGCCAAGTCATGGATATACTGATGCGGATCTTTCGCGACCGATGGATGCGATGAGATATATGCCGCTGACTCGCACCGCCGGTATGACCGCCTCCCACAAATAACAGCTTACAAAACTGCTTCAGCAGCTTGTCGCTCATTGATTGCAGAATCACACGGCAAACTTATGGATCCTTTATTAAAGTGGCGACTTAATTTTTCTGACGAGAGCTCCTCTTGCGCACGCACGATGATCCAGTGTTGCCTGCCGGGGCATGGTGATCACTGCAGTTCTCGTTATCAAGACGTGATGTCAATCGTACCCGTTGCGGTGAAGCCAAGAGGTCGGCAGTTTTGACCAAGTTTATTAATAAGTGACATGCGCTAAAAAGACAAAACGTCTTCGCAGTGAGCCAACGATGCAACTCAGTGGTGACCCCCGAGAGAGTGCGCTGCAACGTCTATTGCATTGAAACTTGACGACTCGGTTACCTGCCCTGCCAGTGGCCTCAGCCCTCCCAGTGATCACTTGAAACAATGATAAGGCTCGTCATTATTCTCAAACAACATTTCAATGCACTGGGATAATTTGGCTGCTTCTCGACAGGTCACTGACTGCCCAGCGCCATTCGAATATACCAGTTACTAGGAGGCGCCAGGGCAAGCCACAATGGCAAGCCGAATGAACTCTCTCGTGTATCCTGTAACACATTTTCGGGGGCTTCCACAATATGGCGCCAGACAACGAACACGGACTTGCAACCCAGAATCCAGATTCAGACCTAAGATTCGATGCAACAGATCTCTTTCTGGAACTGATCCCACTGGCTAGTCACGGTTTTGAGCCCAAGGACAACGGCCGCGGTATTGCGTCAATCTGCGACAACATGTTTAATAGAACAAGCCATTGTTTGATACGATGGCTTGCAAGCCAATAGAGGGTCACCAATGAAGACAATGCAACATTGCCACAGCAAAGCAGCGGGCAATCACAAACTAGTTACGGCGCCGGCTCGGCAAAATGCAGGCTGCCTGGCTATTCCGCCAGTCCGCCCGCTTTGCTTCATGACTCCCCGGGGTCAGATTGCGTTTGCTGGCGTGCTAGACTTTGATCCCCGCCCCGAAAAGGGTCCGCAACAAGCGTAGGTGAATGATTTGCGCATTCCGGGGTTCGTGGCTGCGAGTGGTCATGCCCATGCCGGATCCCTGGTCTTGGCAGCAACCCTGTGCGTTGGCGCTGGGAGCTAATCATGACTCTCACCCGCAGCTGGGGCCATTCAGAAGCCTTTTGCATAAACTGTCAACCGTCAAGGGAGGGAAGGTGGTGTGGATGGTGATTTAGCTCACAGGCAGGCTCAATATTACGGCGACTGGCGTCGGCGCCATGCCGTCGAAATAAGGCCACAGACGTCGATGGCAACGGCAGCATCACCTATTTGAGTTGCCAAGCACAACTGCTGAACTTCCTCGGCTCCACCACGACTAATGGGCAAGGTGCCATGTATAATGGCGTGTTGTTGAACGTTGTTGTGTGGAGGGCATCAATAAGGTTGGACCGCTCTTGTCGTTTCGGCCGAGCTTCCGGACTCGCCCATGCTGGGTGCCCTGGCAGTATCTGTACCAAGAAGCCGGGCCGAGAAACGGGAGACATTATAAGCCACTGGGTCCGTTTGAGAGTTTACCAGGGTGAGGGGTAATTTTACGTTCCCTTTTCGGCACACATTCACCTTCGGCAGGCACTTGGGGCGGCTTGACAATGCACGGCTCGGCGATTTCCGAGGCCTGCAATCTTATGCTTTTGGATAAACGTTCATACGCGAGGAGCAATCTGTGGACTCGCAGCGTACTTTCCATGCTTGGCGCAAGTCATGCGTCGGCTTCAGAGGCTGAGAGGGTGCTACATACTCGACTAATATCCCACAGCGCCACAGGAGAATCAAATGAAGATGACCCTGCTAAATCCTTGCCGGATACTTTTCATGTCGCCCCACCCAAGTACACCACCTCGGGCGGCCTGACCTGGACTTGGCCCGGCAGCTCGACGACCGAGAGGCTGAGATGGGGTGCGCGAACCACTTGCCACACTAGGGAAGATTGAACGAGTAAGGACCAAGATGTATGTCATTTTTACGGGTAAGCACTTGTACGCGCCTTGGAGAGAATACCAAGTCTTGGCCTGGTTTTTCATGCCCCTCTTTCGTGCGCACTAACATAGCTATTATGGTCGAGCAGCAATCGCAGATGGGGAGATCCGGAGGCAAAGGCTGTGTGACTCGCACGACAAAGCAGGCGACGGCAGGCCTGACTCTACTCGGCTCTGACTAGCCACGTTACTAGGGCTGCAACGCTGCGACTCCGAGCCCAAATGTGATGATTTCGCAACGGGAAAGCTTTCTTTTTTTGGTCTTTTTGCCAAGGCCGGAGACATTTCTCCCGTCCGTTTCTCCTTTGTCAGAGAGGTTCCGGCTGCCGCCTGCCTGCCGGAGTTGCAAGAAGTCTTCGTTTTGGGGGGTGGTCGTCCTCGGGCGAGGGCATCTGCCGCCAGCCTCTCCCGGCCGGGCAGAGGGCGCCAGGCGCCAGACGGCGGCGAGCCGCCTACATGCGGTGTCGCTTCCTTCGTGTTACAGGGGGAACATGCCACAAGAAAGAAAGAATAGGGTTGCCGCAAGACGCAAACAGGACAACTCTTTTCATGTTTGGGCCCAAGTTGCCGGCACGATGAGGCGAGGGTCAAGGGCAAATGCACGCACCACATCCGGAACCGCCCGAGATCTTATTCACCTTTCGTCGTCCCTGTTATTGTTTCCCCGCGTGAGGGCATGATTACGTGCGTACGTGCATGCGTGCATGCGTGCGCGCCTGTGTGTGCGTTTTCAGGTGTGGCTGCTTTCTCGGCCTTGATCCGACACTAATAAACTCGCTTGCTTTGCGTCATCATGTGCCTACCCTCCTATTCAAGGGCAGATCGCACGCACATTGCAAAACGCTTGTGCTCTCCTGATCGGTTTCGTTTGACCTGCGAAATGTTGAACAAGACGGGAAGTTAAAGCTGTAGATCCCAATGCCACAGGTTACAGCTATACCATGCCGCGACGAATATCTTCAATCGGTGAAGAGAGAATGAAAGAGCATACACCAAGGTGCTATTGTTTCATCCAGTCTTTTGGTAATGCCTCAGAGTTCTATCATTTGCATCGCAGCAGGTAAATGGATAATGCACAATACCAACCAGCCCCGACTAGAAACATGAAATAAACTCTCTCTCTTCTTCCTCTGTTTCCTACAATGCAAAATAATCAAGAATAGTAAACGACCTTTCTCTGCGCATCAACACCCCCCTTCTTCGCCTTAGTCCTCGGTAGTATCCATTGCTTCTGCTTCCGCCGCGGCCACGGCCAGCTTATTCCTCGCCTCTTGCATCTTTTCCTCGCGCCACTGCTCAATCTTGGCCTTGAGGTCCGGTTGCGGCACCGCGTCGTCCACAGTCATGGGCTGCCGCGTGAACGGATCTTTCGGGTCGCTGAGGAGGTGCTGAACAATGGTGGATCGGTCGACAATGTGCTTGGAGGGAAGGAGGACCGGGTCGCGCATGAGGTCGCCCATGATGGGGTCCTCAAACTCCGGGGGCACGTCGCCGAGATCGAGTTCCGCCTGGTCGAGGGTCGCCTTGGCAACTTTGAAGCGCGCCTTGAGCTGCTCCCAACGCACCATGTCCGCGGGGTCCTTTTGCTTTCTCGAGGAGAGGATGGTGGTGACGCGGTCGAGCACCTCAATCTTGAAGGAGCGGCCATCGGCGGCGACGGCTTCGACAAAGACGTCCGAGCCGTCGAGGTTGAGGTAAATTTCAACTAGGTCCGAGAGGAGCTGAATAGGGCGAAAGTGGTACTTTTCGCGGTTCTCCACGTTGAGCTCGGCGGCGGCCCGTTTACCCGCGAGCGTCTCAAGGTTGTAGTTGAGCATGCTGGCGAGGCGCGACACAATCTCGGGCATGGTAAAGGCGTCACTGAGGGCGTTTGTGAAGAGCTTCATCATCTCGAGCGTCTCGTTGGCGAGCTGCATGTACGAGGTTGCCTGGTTGCCCAGCGTCTGGAGCTCCTCCTGCTTCTTCTGCCCATCCTCGGCAGAGAGAGTCGGGTCCTTGAGCTCAATCTCCAGGGCGCGCATCTTGGGGAACTTGGACAGCGCCTCGTCGAGGACATATGTGGCATCGTTGAGCAGCATGTTGACAAACTGCACAAAGAACCCGCGATTGACCCTGCGCACTTGTTAGTAAGGATTCAGTAGCAAGTGTATCTGCGGCGCTACTTGCTTGCTTTCTCGTGTCAGCTGCTGCTTGTATACGTCATTGGGCCAGACACATTTGATGACCTGAAAGATTTCGTAACGAATGTTAAACTTGTCGTAAAAAGCATTATTACCCGTCGACTCGCATTCAATGTAAAACTTCATCAGCGCATGGAGGAGGTACTCATTGGCAAATGGCAACGACATGAGCTGATCGCCGAGGACACCCCTTTTCAAGTGCAAAAAGTTCCATGTCCCGTAGAATAGCAGTGAAACCAGTGATGACTTGAGATATGGGTTCTTGATCCATTCGGATGAGCGCAGAAATGTGATGCACAAGGCAGGCATCTCTTCGCCCACGGCACTCGGGAGAATGGTAGGTAGCCACTTGAAGACAAACTTGAAGTTGTCAACAATATTTTGCAGAGTGTACTCTGGCAGGCAAGCGAATGCTTCCTGATTCTGATCTTGCAGCGGAAGCTTGATCATCTCGCTCTCTCTGCCGGGTTTGTAATCTTGGCCAGTGGCGATGCGTAGTAGCCACACCGCAACGTAGCGCATGAAGCGGAGCGATGTGCTCTGCATGCGATCATCGAGCAAAACACCCTCAATGGCATGTCTCATGCCAATTGATTTCTCAAGAACGTCGACGTGACGCTTCACCGTCTCTTCAAATGCGCTCAATTGTTGCGGGTTATTGGCAAACTTTTCACGTTCGGCTTCCATGGCCTGTATGCGCGACTCGACGTATTTGATGTCTCTGTCCAAGTTCTTGAGCTGGGAGTTTAGGGCCTCACTGCCATAGTGATGGGCCGCCAGAGTGAGGAAGAAGGCTTCAGAGATGAAATTGGACTCGCCCTCTTCTTTCTTCTCATAGTACTTGTCGGCCGTGGCTTGGTCGGCATTAATCTTTGTCTCGTCTTTGATATCAACCCGAGGTTTGCGTCGCAGATATTTGATGTCGATCTTGTCCACCTTGCTAAAGTCGTTATCCATAAAGGGCTCGCAAAATTGATCCATGATTGTGGCAATGTTGAGCATGAAGCCGTTGGAAGCAACTTCTCGCGGATCGACCTGTATAGCTCTGCGCTTGTGATTTGTGTTCATTATGTATGCGAACCAGTCCAGCATTCGACTTCTCGTGTCCCGGCCTGCTCTTATGAAGGCGCTGGAAATCGTAAAGAGGTCGGTTTGGTGGGTTCGCAATACCATGCGGAGAGCATCTTGCGCATTCTTTATACGGCCCTTGTCGATCGATCGGGCGCCTGGAAAGTACGAATTGATAACTTCGGGCTGTAGAGGTGAAAGGCGAAAGAAGGGGCCGAGCAAGGTGTGCTTTTCGATGCCGGCGGCGGACTGAGGCATATTGAAGGTGGCATGTTTGGAGAGGTTGGTGATAAGGATCGGAAATCGGGTGTATAGGAGAAGAGCCTTGGCCGTTAGCGGAGCGTTGCAAAGATGGACGTATATAACATACCTCAACATGGGGTTTGTAGTTGTCATTCATAGAGATGAGTGCGAGCTGGCTGCTTATGCGAACCATGGCGTCGTTGAAGATATCTGGAATAGCGTCATCCTCGTCGAATCGCTTGATTGCTTCTTGAATGAATTCCAAACAGATGCCGTTTTCGTCTGTGGGACCACGGAGCAGCTGCGGCGCAATGGTGTCATGATTAGGGTTCGCCGCGCGTCTATCAACTAGTTAATGCTGGACATTGCCAGTACATCGCTTGACTGACCCATAGAGATCCGGCAATGTGATGGCAAACAGACAGTTGCTCATGCAAAGTCTCTTGGCCTCCTCGTGCACCTGCTGTCTCGTCGAGGAGCTCGTCTTCTGGGCAGCCTGCTTGACTGCACGCTTCCAGCACGGCAGCAGATAGCTCATGAGAGGTTTGTCATCGGGCCAATTGGTGCAGGCCTCGATGATGGCCTGGTCGAGTGTGGCCGTAGAAAGGCGCATGGGCTCGCCGGTCTCGTTGAGCTCCTCGTTGAGGTTGGGCAAAAAAGTGAGGCGGACGCCGGTCGGGGTGCTCATGTGGTGGGGGTCGACGGAGAGGCGAAAGATGTTAGTGAGGATGCGGTTCTCGTACTGCTCGTCCGTTTCGGCTGCCTGGGACGGCGCCGTCTGCTTGCGCGGTGGTGCGGCAGCATTGCTTGCTGCAGAACCGCCGTCAATCTCTTGTAAGCTTCTCTTGCGCGGCGAGGCGGGTGAGGTGGCTCTACCTGGCGAGCCGGTGACCGGGCTCTTGGCGTCGCTCTGCTTGCTGAGCCCGAGCTGCGTAAACGGGTTAGGTCCAGAGCGCGCTGGGGCGGCGGCGGCGGGTGTGATGTTTATTTTCCTCTTGGGAGCGGCGGAGGCTGATGACGAATCTGCTGTCGTGGGCTTGGGCGAGGCTTGGCCGCCGGGACTGCTGCTGCCGCTGTCGTCTTGCGGCGGCTTGGGCGCGCCGAGCTTGGCGAGCCGTCGTGCTCGGATCTGTGTGAAAAGAAGACATGTCAGTGCATGGAAATGCCAGGTGATAAGAATGGTGGCGTACCTGATCCATCTTCTCCTTGTCGGGAGCTTCGTTGCCGCCGTAGGGCTGGTCGTTGGGATCCATGCTGACCAAAAGGAAAACGAAAGGACGGGCGCGTTGACGAGCGGCGGCAGCGAAGGACGCAGACAAGAAGAACCAATGACGAAGGTAACGGAGGATGGAAATGAAGGAAGTCCAGGAGGAGTAGGGACAAAAGGGCAGACTGCTAAGCTGCCGACTGATGAAGATAAAAGAAGTGAGATTTGAGTTGTTCGCCGCCCAGATTCAGGCCGGTGCCGCTTGTGACGTGCTGATCAGTGAAGGTGGGATATAGTGGAGCTTTGGCTGGCGGTGGGTTATTCAGTAACTACCTAGGTAGTTGACCTTCTGCTGCCTGCAATCTGCTGCTTGAGCGGTGATGGAAAATTGTGTTGTGAATTTGGAAAGTTTCATGAAGATCTCGAATTTTCGTAATATTTTGTTGATGAACTGTCCCTGTCGCTCTTTGCCGTTGTCGGAAGATGGCTGAACCGCGCGACACAAGACGAAATGGAAACGCACAGAAACAATAAGACGGCGCCAAACAACTACGGTGTATGGCAAAGCGCACGCACAAGAATGATTCAAAGTGCCTGTTTCGTGATGATTGGACAACGCTTCGATAAGTACAACAAGAAAAATAAAAGATCGATTTAATCCGCATCCTATTTAAGCCTGTACCACCCATCCGCCGTGACTGCCGTCTTCTCCGCTGCGGACCGAGACTGGAGCGGACTTTACAATTGAGCCTAGCAGCAGCTGATGTAGAGTAATCATTACGAGATTGGCACATGATAACGAATAACTCAAAAAGATGACTTTACTGGTGATTTGGAGAGCAACTAAAGGGCGGATATATTCGTAGAGCCCGTGTCACTCCTGCAAGAACTATCACTGGCCATTTTGTCTTTCATTTACAGACGCTGGCTTTTAGAAGCTAAATGTGCTCGCTCGCGTCCCAAGATTATCATATACAACACCGTTACAATCGCGGTACATCCGCGTCCATGCCTGACGATCGCCTTCTCTCTTGTAGCATCGGGATGCCCTCTCCTGCGCTGTTCCTGCGAATGCCTGCCGCCGTGGCTGCTGCCGCGCCTGTATTGTTGGCAGCTCGGATGCGACCCTCCTCGCGGCTCCGATTCAGCAGCCAGTTGACGTGCATGCGAATCATGTTGATGTTGTTCCGCAATTCCGTCACCTCCTCGCGGATCGGCATCACTTGGTTCAGGGTCCACATGCTCTGCCGAGCCTCGAGGTGGGTGAGGTTTTGGTGGACTTCTTCAAAGCCAGCGTCGAGATCCTGCATCGTCCGACTGTCGCTGATGGCGGATTCGCCGGCGCCGGAGGTGGCCCCGCTAAGACCGCCAGCGCTACCGCCGCCGAAGCGACGGCTGAGCGACATTTCCTCCAGCTTTCGCGTCGTTTCGTCCTGGCGGGTTTGTAAGTCGCGGAGCTGGCTGCTGAGGTCGCCGTACGATTGAATGACGTCCCGCTGCGAACGGATAATGATGCCCGAAGGCGTTTCTGGATGAAACGCGCAACATAGTGTGTGAGTGCTCATCTGGCCGCGCATTATGCGGGCCGGACAGCCCAGATTTTGATACGAGCACCCGACTTCGATTCCGTCGCATTCCAGATGACGATGAGCATCCATCTGTGACCGCACAACCAGGTCCCAGCAAGCTTCACATCTCGTTTTACTCTTGGCGCAGGATAATAAGTGTAGTTCGGAATCAACCTCTTCGATCCTTTCCAGGCACGCGGCGCAAGTTGTCTCTTTGTGGTGGCACAAGTCGTCGGTGGGTTTCGATGATAGCTTCTTGGTGCAGTCTTTATCAGGACAATAGTAATCTCGGTACCGACATTCGCTAGTAGCATGCTTCTCAATCATTTCTCGGCGCAGCTCCTTTGTACATGCTCTATTGGTGTACGGGCACTTTACCACCAGCGCATTAAGCTGCGTGCGAATGAGGCGGGCGGCGCTGAAGCAGTCTGCCCAAAACAGTGGCTCTCTGTCAATGGGGCAGGCTGTTCCGGACGGACTCGAGGCTATGCTTCGCCGAATGCACCTGTAGCAAAATGTGTGGTCGCACGGTGTCGTGACGGGATCGACAAGCGGGTCGTGGCAGATGGGGCACAGCAGGCTGGCATCGGGCTCGGTGACATACGTCAACGAATACATGTCAAAGATGCACTGCCCGCCGTAGCGCTTTGGTATGTCGAGAGACGACTTGTGCGGCGGCAGCAGCGGCCCCGAGCGGCGATCCGTATTCATCGTCGAAGCGCTGCCGCCGACGCCCGCAGCCCCGCCAGCCAGCGACCCGGACGTGCGGCGACGCAAACCCCTCAGCGCGGCCCCTTGCCGCATGCGACCGTGAATCTCGGGCGTGATGTAAAAGGCCTCGGGGGACGGTGGACGGACGAGGCTGGTGACGAGGTCGGGCGTGGCCGAGGCGCGGCGCAGGTTGCGGCGGGCAAAGCGGCGGGCCTCGGCAGGCGTCATGCGCAGGCCGTCGTCGCTCGAGTCGGAGCCGTAGTTGGGGGATAGAGATACGCTGGTGCTGACAGAGGAGCGCAAGATTGGCACGTCGGGGGCCGTGGCGTTGCTCTCGCGCCGGGTCGGCGGCGGTGTGGTGCTGGCCATGGTTGTGACGTTTGCTGGTGATGATGGTTCACGATGCGGGCGGTGTGAAGGCGGCGTCGCTCGCGGAGACGAGCCCGTACATGTGAGGATGGGATCGATACGATGGCGTATAGTATGAAAGTTGGTTGGGTATGTTTGGTGGTGTTGACAGGAACGCCGCTTGGACGGGAATAACAGATGGAAGGATGAGGAATGTCGTGATGGAGACTTGTCAGATGTGCAGGCATTTAGTTGGTACCTAGTTACAGGCGATCCTGAGCCTGAAGCGGACAGCCGCGGGAGACCCGCTTACTTGGCGGGGGACAAAACAGGCCACTTGTACGCTGCTGTGAGAAAGACTATTGTAATTTTAAAGGGATGAGAACCTAGTGTTGAGAAATATATGACGAGTATCAAAATTAATTGCTCTTGACAATTTTTTTTTTGGCAGGAACCTAATAAATCATGTACTGGTATCTTGGTATATCCAACTATTTATATTCATGGCTGTTGATACGCGTACGCTCGGCCTATTCTTTCTGCCAACCAAGTCTTCCTGGCTTTCGATTGGCTATAACCACACGAGACCCACCTTTCTGTCCCATTTCAACAAGTTGCCCCAGCCTCGGGCTTCAATCAAGCATCACGACTTCAAGAGACAACTTTTTGTGCCATGAGCCAACATTTGATCTCTCTCGAGAGTCGTAGCTACTATATGGCTTTTTTTGACTCGTCACACATCGACCGCCTCCGTGTAAGAGCTTAAATGCGCCATACCGGCACTCACCACCTTCACAGGACGCCGACGCCACGCTGAGACCAGACATGGTAAATGTCTGCCGCTCTGGTACTGGCCAATCATGTGCATCAAGATACGACAGAATTTCAATCCTGGAGCGTTGTATCCTTTCTTTGACTTGGTCGAGACTTCTGATTCTCGCTCCTTACCAAGTTCGTGGTCGCAATAAAAGGCGACTGACTACAAATAATAGGATTCATTGCTCACGGAGTACATGCCACACCGGCAAGGCCATTATATGACGTTGCTTTTCGATAACGATCATGACTTATACCAACCAGATACTACGCAACCAGGAATAAAACACGCTCAGTGCTGTGCTAGAATTTTAAATGTTGTCTTTGCTATTTAATTCGAGGCATAAACCCTTCATCCTGATACAAATCTGTCCACAGACTATTGTAGTCCTCCAATTATCCCGTATACATTGAAAAAAAGTTGTCGTAATCGTGCTCACCCTGTTGTTGTATAATTCCTAGCCCTTTCGGATCACATTCTTCATAATAGTCCGTCATTTCCACATCGACATTATTCGGCAGCTCCCCCAACCAAGGGACATCGGCAAACTCGTACGGCACTTCAATGTTGGCATGGTTCACGATGAGCACATGATTTCCATCAATAGCACTGCTATACGCACAGTACTGCGTGGGCAGCCGCATCCATTTCCTGCCGTTCCAGGTAATCCAGCTCCCGTTTGAGGAAATCCCCCACCCGATTCGCCGAAAGACCATGGTCCGGGGGGGTTCTGGTGTTGCGGCTCGCGAGCGGCCACTCTCCCAGCCACTATGATCCGGCAACAACGCCTGCTCCAGCCCTGACTCATCATGGCCCAGAGCTTGAGCTGCGCTGCTTGCAATACAGTATGCTACTTTGCCGCTATTGGTGAGAATGACTGGTTGTATGCGGTCAAAGGTAGCGCCGGAAAACGGACGCCGAGTTTCTGAATGTAGACACATTCCTCGCCTAATGTCCCAGAATTGGTGAAAATTATAACCTATCAAGAGGGCGAGGGTCGAGTCTGGCGATATTCGAACAGCCGTCACGCTTGCACGTATAGTCAGCAGTAACAAATCCCTAAGATAATCCCAGATATAGACCCGGGATTCATCAGTTAGGGCCAATATGCGTTCATCCGGCGAGAAAACAGCTTCGTGCGCGTCGAATCTTGACATTGGTGAATTTCCGAGGATTTTGAAGCTCGAAACCTCCAGCGCAACAAGACGAACCATACCCTTGCCATCGGCAATTACCAAAACGAGGCACGCGTCCGACGCAAAATCTGCGGACCGGATATAGTATCCCTCGTCAGCAAAATAGCGATTCCGCAGGGAGCGATTCCTTTTTCCTGTCCTCTCCCAGAGGGAGAGCTGCCTGCTAGTACTTGTAGTAAAGTAATCACCCGTAGAAGAAAAGGCAATCATTTCCGCCAGACCCCTATTCTCGACCAAGCTCGGTGGTCCTGGTCTTGCGCTCACGATGCGTGCCCAATTCGGGTCTATGGACGCCAGCAGGGTACCATTGGGAGAATTTTGGAAGTATTCTGGGAGTCCGTCGCTAAACCCCTCGTCTGTTGGGCAAGGGGAAAAATCCACGGTTCTCGGTTGATATTTTGGCAGTCTGTAAAAGAAAATGACCCCTGGCGCTATGTCGTCTGTTGTAGAGGACGCAAGCTGTGTTCCGCCATGAGCGATCGTCGTGATTGGACCTGGAGACGTCTTCTTTATGACTTGGGGGTTTTGGTCTTCATGTTTCCGTATTCTGATTTCATCTTCATACTCGATAATGAGATATTCTTCGGAGATTGTGTATGCATTATTTTCTTTCTGGAGAAATGCCAGCGGACCAACAGCGTCGGTCGAGTACACTTCCTGGCTCCCGGTCAACTCGGTCGTGATTGTCCATGCGGTCATGTTTGACGAAAGTACCAGATCATAGCTTGGAGCTCTCTTCTCTGTCGGTAGAAAAGTCATGCGGATCCGCTCACCTGATTCTATGTTCCAGTACATGAGGCAATCGTCAAAGTGGCCGGCCAAAAGCGAACAGTCAGGTGACACTGCTACTTCATGGGCGGCGTAGGGAAAAAATCTAATGCTGCCGACATGTTGGCCGCTTTCGATCGACCAAAAGTCGGCGGAATGATGTGAAGCAATCAGCACACAGGTGTTATTGTGAGTGAAGGATCTCGGTCGATGAAAGTAGTCGGCATCGTATTTCACTTTGAAGGACCGGACCTTGTTCTTGAAATTCTCGCTCCCGTTTTCAATGTTCCATATTTCAATCTCGTCAACCCCGTTGCGGAGCGCGAACAAATTAGAGTCGGAGGAGAAGACGACAGCAACAGGTGATTCACCATTACCTACGGGGTTGTCGATCGGGATCCAGAGAAACTGTTCGCCCAAGTAGGATAAGAACCAAACGGCATCACAGCTCATTGCGGCCAAGACTCTTTCGTTTGGTGAGAAGAGAAGTTTCAGTATTCCTCGAGCGGGCAGAGGCTTGACTGTGGTAGTCATGAACCCCAGGCTCCATTTATATTCGACGATGGGTTTTCCCTGGACCCATGTGTTATATTGATGCTCGAAAATCTTCCGGACGATGCTATTCCTTGGTGTGAAAATGAGCGCCGTGTATATTTGCAGCGGTGCTTCGTCTAAGCTCTCGCAATTCGCGGCCGCGAAGCGGTACACATCCTTCAATAACGCTTGGACCTCTACGGATTTCTTGTTCTATGGATGATGAAATGTTAGGTCATTTCTCGTGACATTAGGTGCGGGCCAACATACACGGCTGATGAGTCTTTGGAGCCGAAGAAACTCTCTTGCTGGATATGAATAGTCTCCAATCTCGGCCCAAGCTTTCAGCTCCAACCAGTGAATGGCTGCGAATAAACTCATAAACATAAATCTCATCACCGTCTTTTATTTCGACTTGTGCAGAAAGTGCATGTCTGTGGAAGTGACGGCAGGCGTAAGCTAGCTCCTCTGTAAAAAAGCCGTTCAAGTCCTCTGGACGAAAATTCCAGAAACAAGGATAGCCAAACGAGTCGAATCGGCAAAGTCTGAATGCCAGTGAAGTCTGAGGCCCATGGAGAATCGCTAAGCAGCGCCTCATCATGGTGTGATGAGCAACCTTCTCCTCAACCCGGATTGGCGAAAACTCCCCCTCGTTCGACAGAAAGTAATCTATAAACGAGCGATGCAAAACCTTAACGTGATTTTCTTCTTTGTTCGTCGAGTCTCTAGGGCTGATTACTTCAATCACAGATTGGAGGCTCCTCAAACGATGCTCGAGTTTTTCGACGTCGAGGCCCGAAAGACGCGCAAGGGTTGGTACAGAGACAGGGCCGCGCAAAACACATATTGCGCCGAGAACTTGCTGGCATTCACGAATCTGATTCTTCCTGGAATATTCACTCATGTATGTCTTGGGAATTTGACGATCGAGCACCGGCTTGTAGATCGACTCGAACGCGTTACCGCCCATTGTTTTGCGTTTTAGAAGGCCACTGAGCTGCAAGTCAGGACGACTCATAGAATCATCCTCTTCAAGCGACCTGCACATGGTTGCAGCGGATATGAAGAGCCGATCGGACATCTTGAGCAGCCTATCGACATCCTCCCGGCTCGGCCAGCTCGGTCCCAGTTGTTTGTGTAATTGGTCCACTGAATTATTGTAACTCTCGCGAACCTCCTCCAGCCTATGCTTCAGGTATATCCGAAGATCGTGGTCAATGGTAGATCTTTGCACTTCATGAAGAGCCATCGTCGCATACTCGTCTGTCAATGGCTTGTATAAGTTGAGCACAGGAAGGTCCGGACGGCTCGTAAAAAAGAGCTTGACCCTTGGAAGCTCTGCCCTTTGAAAGGCAGAGACGAGGGAAAAGAAGGTCTTCAAGTCTGTGTCATCGCATTCATCAACTGCATCGATGACAATGGCAATGTTTTTGTCGAGCTGGACTTTGGCCAGCGGCTCCAACACAAGAAGCTGGAATTGCTGTTTGGCCTCTGTGTGAGCAATGCGCTCATTTCTGTTCACCGTGTCGACAATGCTCGCGCGGGCAGCAGAAAAGCGGCCTGCTAAATCTGCGGCAATAGTACTGGAAAACAGTTTTGCCGTACCACGCCTCATATTATTTCTTTTAAAGAAGAAAGAAGCGCCTAGTTGACCGCGCGCTCGCAGGTCTGTGGCGAAGCTCCGGGATATTGTAGATTTGCCCGTGCCCGTCATGCCTTTCAGGCAAAAGGTGCGCGGACGCTCCTTCTCTAGCCATTCTAATAGCTGCTTGAAAATATCTTTACGGGTTTCCGGGAGGCAGTGGGCGCTCTTGCTTTCCTCCCAAGAGTCATACCGTGCTTCGTCAGAGATGGGCAGGCGTGAGAGGACATCGAGTTCGGCGGCGGTAGCTACAGTCTCGCTGAGACAAGGTGTCAATCAGTGTAGACATGGAGTGGTGACATTTTTCTCTTACCACGACTGTTCTATTCTCCCGTTTTGAGCTTCAAGCTTCTTCACAGATTCAAACATGGGATCAAACACTGGGGACAAGTGGTTAGGAGCGAGTTCAATATCGACGTGTCTAGTATACTAGCAGCAATTCTTACGCAAGGCTAATTCTTTGGATCGAATCTTCTTGACCTGGATTGGGGGGTCCAAATTGCAGATAAGTATCCTTGCATATGCAGCCGCTGTCGCAGCGGCATACGGCTGCCAAACATCGTTTTTGTGACTGTCTGCATAATCACAAATACCGCGTATTACCAGGCACGGAAGCTGTGAAACAATGGCAGCGGCTTCCATCTCATAGCAAATGCAGTCTTGCATTGTTGTCCTTGCAATAGTATCCCTCTGCTCGGCATCTTTGACCAGTGAATTGCCTGACAGGATCACGCCGTAGTGGATCGCGGGAAGTGTTGACTTGCGTTTTGGTCGAGGAATCTCCTGCGAGGGATCACAACCACTGCAGTCGGGATCTTCGGTCCTGTGAACATAATCTGCCTTGAAAAGTCGATCATGTGCCGCGCCTTGATGTTGGGATTCCTCTTTCATGCTCGGCTCTCTCTCAATCATCTCGTTTATGAGTGCTTGCATCTGACCAGAAAGCTTGTCTGGTTTTGACTCGAGAAACTGGACGACAGAGAGTAAATCATGTGGAGGTAGGTTGATAGATCCAGTTCTCTCCCACCCATTTTTGGGCAGCATTTTGCCAAAGTCATATTGGAGAACACCGGAGGAAGTACCACCTGGACGACCAATCACAACATCACCCAAGCGAATATCCCGTTTTTTGTCGATGTACACTTTGTCCTCCAGTACTGTCGTTCTAGGTATTGCCCCAGCAATGCCAACCAAGACTCCAAATTTGATGTGCGGCAGCGAAGATCTGAAGCAAGCTATGGTCGTCGCCGCATTGTTCTGTCCGCAAAAGCCGGCGGGAAGGAAAGCAATGAGGATGTTGTGGTTGTCAATGCGTCCCCAGACATATTTATTCCCGTCAGCCTTGTTTTTTTCAAAGTCGGTCGGTGGGTCGTGTTCCTCATCGAGCATCGCTCTTGCAGCAGTAAGCTCGACTATGATAGCTGCTATCCAGACTATGCTGTACAGCTCACAACTGCCCAATCGTCTTCTTTGGTCATTCATGTTGGTCAAGACCGATTCAATAGATCGAGGTTACATATGGAAGGATGCTGGAAAGGCTACACAAGGAAAGATGCTGGAATGGTTACACAAATCGCGCAAGACGACTTGGGAGCATCGGGGTGAGGGGTAAGATAAGCCGAGGGTGATGGGCAGTCTATTTGGGTACGCGTGACTCAACAATGCATGAGCATGCAGTGAAATTAGGTCGTATGAGGAGGCTGCATGCGGACCCTGTCTTCATTTGCGTCTGGGACGGGACAACACATCAAGAGCCTTGTCTCGTTGAGAGAACAGCGCGTCGACAAGTTGCTGCAAGGTGAAAGTGTGATGCTCAATGGCCCCGAGGGAGGCACTTGCTATCAGATAGCCATCTCTATGACATTGCAGCAAAAGAAGCATCTAGCTTTCTAGAGAGTTTACTGTAGCAATTATGGACCGATATCTGTCGAAGGAGTCAACTCACACTCATTTTCGATATGGGGTCGAACCTACTACCTCGGGGGAACAGCAGACCTGATTGGGTGAGCGACCTCTGCTCAACCTGCACAGCCAGAAGGATTTCAAGGCTGCCGCAAATCCTGCAGTAGCTGGTTGAGACAGACCATGCGGACGAGTCACGACTCGTAATATAGGGATATTTAAATCGAGTAGCGATCAGCGACGGGATAGAAGCTGCATAGCTGCCCATCTAGCCGCTATGGTCTCCCAACAACTGATACGCTACCAACGGCACAGACAAGTCACATTCCATTCCAACAAGTACATGATTTAATCTATGCACTGCGCAGCCTGATTTCATCTCGGCGAATCAGTAGTCTGCTTTGTGGCGGCAACAATTTGTCTTGTTTCTATGGCTGGAGCTATCATGCAGGAGGATGATCTACTGCAGGCTTCCCGCTCCCAAAAGCTATAGTACTCTGAAACAGTGGGCAAAATCTATATTTATAGCCTTGTCCATCAGTATAGTCAGTCTAGACTCGAACTTGGGCAAGCCCCCTTGGTCTGGGTAGGCATGGGGGTGTCTTGAAAAAAAAAAGAGGCCACGTATAGATGTTCATTTTGAGAGGCGGTCAGTAAAAGCAAGGGTGGATGAGAATAGTGACAATTGGGGAAATGTGAGAAAAAAAAATGAGGAAAGCAGGGCGAGAATGTACGAATACGATGAAACCTGGGGTAATCTACCAACTAGTTTTTGCCTTGACTAATCCGTATGGGGAACTCGGTCGGTAAGCGCCGGGCACACTGGGGTCATCTAGTGATACCCCGCAATCCTAGAAGAAGAAAGCATGTCGTGTCACCTCTTGAGAATAAAAGAGAGAAATCTCGGGATCAAGCCTTTTGGATTTATTCCTGGGCACGTCTACACGTCAACATACCCCAGTGCCATTTCTTTGGACAGTGTGACAACCCATCCTGCGGTGGATGGATCCCATATTGTGTCGTATGATGTCGCAACAAATATATAGGAAAAATACAGAACCCATCCTAGAATACTCTAGTGCCCGATTTATTTTTTTTTAGACAGTGCGACAACCCATCCTGCGCTGGATGAATCCCACATTGTGTCGTATGATGTCGCAACAAATATATAGGGAAAATACTTGGTATCGTGGTCTTGCAGAACCATCCCAAAATACTCGAGTGCCTTTTTTTTTTTCTTTTTTTTTTTTTGGCCTTCCCTTTCCTTAGCACTGTGACAACCCATTCTGCGCTGGATGAATGTCTTGAGACCCCGCCTTTTGCGTATAATGTCGCAATTAACAAAGAAGCACGACTGGAAAGTGCCTTTTCTCACGGAGAAGATATCGTGCCATCTATGAAATAAATCTCAAGTAAAAGACTCGAGGTTAAGGTCTTGCAAAGTCATCTCTGAGAGCGTCGACATGGCCAAGTGTCAACTGTATTTTGTCGACGTATCGCAAACCCCCCATGATCGAGTTTCTCGAGACCCCACGGTTCGCATTTACTGCCGCGACCAGCGAAGAGCATGGCTGCATCAAGGCTTTTCTTACCGAAAGAAAAAAACTCGTTTCATGTATAAAAACCTAGGAAAAAAACTCGACATCGGGGTCTTCTTGAATAAATCTTTGAAAGCATCAATAAATTTGAGTGCCATTACATTGGCCATACGGCAGAGAGTAGTGCTACCCGAACGTAAAGAGTACCTACAACTTGTAGGTATCTCTACTAGAGTTGGATGTACCTGGTGCTGGGGTCGTCCGCTTAGCTCATCCGTCCGGGCAGCACTAGGTAGGTACTTACTCATTGTAGGGTGTGGCCCACGCCTGCCTAGCTAGCCCCCCCTTGCTAGCCCACAGAACCTACAGAATACATCATCACGTACCCCCGACACTCATGAGATGAGAAGTTCAGAACCCCCCTGCGCTGGATCTTGCACCCCGCATTTTGCGTACAATGCCGCAATCAAGTCGATGCTGGCTGCGTGGTTGTTTGAAGCTACAAGTTACTTGTTAGTCATGCACAGTGCTGCCTATGGTTCTTGTCTTGATGAGTCAGCTTCCAATTTGCTCTAGGGCCGATAGCTAGCATGCCATTCGCCCTCATGGCCCTATCCGATCCCGCTGACTGAGCTAGCTAGCATGAGCTTTCACATGTCAGCTACCCCAGCGTCAGCAACAGCTGGCTGGTAGGCGACGTGAAGTGACTTATCAACTTGGTCCCTCCGGTAGTAAGCAATACTTGACCTGTTGCAAAATTGAATGCCCAATTACAAATTCAGTTTGAATTTGCTTCCTACTGTTCAATTTTAGACCCCGCTGTCAGCTAGTTATCGTCACGAGGGTCGCCGACTTTCACAAGCCAGCCTCGAGCCTCCTCTCCACACGACCTTTAGTGGACACTGACTAACACAAAGGGGGAGAGGAGGGGATTGTCAACAGGCCAGCTTTGACGTTTCATTTTCTTTTTTTTTTCCCTCATCGAGATATCGTCCCGAATAGATTCTCATGGAAATCTCGCCGCAACGTTGAAAAAATACGGAAATCGAGCGGATATTCACCATCGAGCTGAGCTGGCTTTAGCCCTCGCGAGCATCACCAACAACCCTAACCCACCCACACTACCCGTGGTGGCTGGCTCTACGTCACAGTCTACACGTGGGACAAGCGCCAAATCTGTCTCAGCTTTTACCAAATGACGCATTAGGTTTCTTGCATATGATCAGAGTTTGAATTTATACTTTCAAATTTACAATCGCATGTTAACTGGGTTGGCGACACCCCGACATCATCATCATCATCATCATCATCATCATCATCACCACCACAACCCGGCGTCATCGCCACAACCCTCCGCCACCAAATGATTGACCACGTCCTGGGCCGGCCCTCGACCAAGTCGCGGCGCCTCCAGGTCCTGGCCGTGCTCGCCCTCTGGAGCGTCTACCTGCACAAGGGCGGCGCCCACGGCCCGCCGGGCATCCGGCACCTCTCCCGCTTCTTCACCCGACGCCTGACGTCGTGGCAAGTCTTTGTGCTCACCATGCTGTCCGCCTACGCCGCGCGCAACTTTTCCGCCCTCGTCGGCCTGGCGAGCCCGGAACCCATGGCCAACATGTACGACTCGACCTACTTTCGCGCCACCTGGGTGCTGACGGCCATGGACGCCGGCTTCTGGACCGCCATGCGCATCCGCGCCAAGTGGGCGCGCGACATTGCCAGCGTCGTCTTTTCCGTCTTTTACCTCTTCGCCGCCGAGAGGGCCGACGAAAAGGTGCGCAAGGTGAGAGGCATGATTACCGTGGAGCACATGCGCTTGGCCTGGAACAAGGGCACGACGCCGTATCTGCGGGTGCTGCAGAGCCTGATGCGTCCGCGCTTTACAAAGTGGCCGCCGCGGCAGGTGCGCATCCCGCGGCCGGCCAACAGCGATTACAAGGAGCCCGTGTCGGCGTGGCTGTACTTTGACGGGCCGCTCGCCGACCTCAAAAAGCATACGCGCCTGGTCCTGGACGTCCCGGGCGGCGGCTTCGTCGCCATGGATCCGCGCTGCAACGACGACAAGCTGTTTGCGTGGGCGACCAAGTCTGGCCTGCCGATTCTCAGCCTCGACTACAAAAAGGCGCCCGAGTTTCCCTACCCGTACGCGCTCAACGAGGTATTCGACGTCTACGCTACACTCATCCGCACGCGTGGCAAGTGCATCGGCATGTCCGGCGAGACCGTCCCCCAAATCGTCATCACCGGCGACAGCGCCGGCGGCAACCTGAGCGTGGCGGCGACGCTCATGATCCTCGAAACGGCCAGCACGCCCTTTCGCAAGACGCCGCGGGGCAGCACGCTCCCGCCGCCCGACGGCCTGGTCTGCTTCTACCCGGCGCTGGACATGAATATTGGCAACTGGATGACCGACGAGCAAATGTCGCTGATTCGCGACCGCAAGTTTCGCAAGACCAATCTCGCCATTGTGCGCAGAAAGAGCCGCCAGTACACCGACGTTGTCGGCACGCCGTACCATTCCGAGGACGAGGACGAGTCATCACCCAGGGACACGGCCGAACCACAACCAGCCGGCGACCCCATCGACCAGCTCCAAGAATCACGCCCAGAATTTTCCCACAGCGCACCGCAGGCGCTCAGCGCGCCGACGTCGCCGGCGGCTACGACGGCCACGACGACGACCACGACCGTGTCGCACCGCCCGGAGCCGATGAAGACGCGACTGGCCACGTCGTCCATGATTTCCTACGTCAACGACCGCGTGCTCACGCCCGAGATGATGCGCGCCATGATTATCCTCTACATTGGCGAGCACAACCGGCCCGACTTTTCGCAAGACTACCTGCTCAGCCCCGTTCTCGCGCCCGACTACCTCCTCGCCCGCTTCCCCAAGACGTACTTTATGACGGGCGAGCGCGACCCGCTCGTCGACGACACCGTCATTTTTGCGGGCCGTCTGCGCCGCGCCAAGGAGGAGATGGCGACCACGCGCTCCGGCCTTTTTCCCGAGGACGAGCGCGACGGGCATGCCGACGCCGCGCCGGAGGTGGTGCTGATCCCTGGCGCCTCGCACGGCTTCATGCAGTTTCCGGGCATCTACCCGCCGTCGTGGCGGCATTTTGAACGCAGCGCCGAGTGGTTTGACCAGCTATTCGCCGACGCGGACGAGACGAGAAAGAGACAGAGGCGGGCTAGGCGGGCTAAGCGGGCAAGGCGGCAAGAAGAAGAAGAAGATGATGAAGCAGAAGCGGCGGGTCGCGAAAAGGCAACGGCGACGGCGACGGCAGCGGCGGTGGCGGTGGCGGAATCGAGCGGCGACGAGGATAGGCCGTTGGAGATTAGCATGACTAAGCTGACGCGAGGACGGAGCGGAACGGTGAGTCAAGAAGACAAGAAAAAGAAGAAGGAGCAAGTCAACGGAGGAAGCGGGGAAGTGGAGGGAGAGCGAGAGGATGAGAATGAAGAGCGGCCCAAGCGCAAGATTAAGCAAAACAAGAGCTTGTTGAAGCTCAAGAGCACAGATGACTTGCTGGGGCGGCGCATGGCAGGCGTCGCGAGCGGATTGACGGGGACGGGCGAGCAAGATTAACTTGACTATTCACTGTACATTACAAACATTTATTACTAAGTTGGAGCGTACCGGGTAGTTGGATTCGTTTGAAGAAGAATTGGGCATACTGTCCAGGTGCATCGCGCATCTCAATTAAATGCATTATTTTTTAAATTTAATGGCCGCAGTAATTATGCGTCGCATTGTACACGTTGAGCAGTTTTGCTACTACAGCTCCAGTATCGAAATAGTGTGCGCAGATACCAAGACATGATTAATAACAGCGAGTTAGCGTATTATACCAGCAATTTAGCTAGTGTCAGTAGCCTCTATACGACAAACGGCCAGCTACGTGTTGTCAGTACTTTAGCTATCAGCGTACATACCAGTAATAAATAAATCTCCCAGCTCATCTACAACAATACTATATAATCAGTGACCATTAGTGATTACAATAGTTTAGCACTCACTGTAGGGCCTTTTTTCTTTTTTTTTTTTTCTTTTCTTTTCTTCCGTCCAAGCACAGAGTCAATTCCCCAGGTAGTATTCACAGCCAGTCTTATCCATATTCATGTCAAAAAGTGGCTTGAATTTCAAGGCGTCAGGCTAGTTAGATCCCAAGATCCACAGCGATTGGTGGCTGTCACGCGAAACAGTGATTGGGCATAGAAACAGTATTTATTTGATAGAGGAGCAAAAGAAGCTGTAGGGCTGGGGGGAAGCTGCGGGATACCCTTATTGAGTGGGTACACGTGCGACGTGCTAGCATACATACTACATACTGGTATATACTTACCCCTATTGCGGGTTACTTTAGCCCATGCCCTTGTCCCGTGGTTGCCGTGATGCCCCTGCATTCGACATTTGACAGCGGCAATCCCGTGATACCCCTGCATTCGACAGCGGCAAGGTACGATCGGGATTTAGACGTTAAACAAAAAATGTGGAACCTTCGATGGAATCATTTCCAACTTTTTGACGAGAACGAATTCTCGGCTGCAAGTTACTGCAACGGCGATAAAGGCTGGGCTTTCGACGGGCCTTGGTTTACAGTGGTTGGCCTATGTTCCACGACGGCAAAGGAAGAAAGAGTGGCGAGTCATGGAGACACCAAGAACAAGGAGAGCCACCAAGGATGACGACAGGAAAGCGGGGAGTGGCTGAGGGTAGTTATGGGGAGCAACCATATTACGTCTAGTATATAGCTATAATACATCAGAGTAATCTTGGCCCATGACTCGATACGATTCAGCATCAGTGTCAGTTGCCTTTTCGCCACATCGATCGGAAAGCTGTTTTTGCCTGGATCAGCTACGGGATAGTTCATAATCATCACGTCATCAGAGGGCAGTTGGCTGAATCTTGTACGCAGGGCATTCAGGCAAGATGCTTTCTCATTAATCTAATCTGCTACACGGGATTTGTCGAGGCAAACTCGTACATGTTCAACAACAACAAACAGAGGCTTGCACAACGAAACCGCTGACCTATTTCGCCTGTTTCTTGTTGTTGTTATTGACCAGCTTGTTAGGAGAGCCGCGCAAGTCGCCCGTGATCTTGTCCTTGGTGCAGGTTGAATCAAGCATGCTCACAATCTCGTGACGGCGCTTGGGAGAGCCCGAGGCTGACATGAAGGTAAGGGCAACGCCGGCAACATGAGGCGCCGCCATTGACGTCCCAGTCATTAACTGAAGCTTCTTGTCGTCTGCGCTAGACAGTGAAAGAATATCTGTTCCGGGCCCGAATATATCCACAGTGGAACCGAAATTGGAAGTGTTGTGTATGGTCCAATCTGGCTTCATATTTCCCACAGTAATGGCGCCAGCTTTCGGCGCGAGGCAATAGTCTTTGGCGTCCTCGCCTTCGTTGCCAGAAGCTTGTACAATCGTGATGCCGTTCGTCACAGCCCGCTGAATAGCTTGCGAGACTGCCCTCTCTTGGCAGCCACCGCCTAACGAGATATTAATGACGGCCTTGCCGACGCGGCCCTTGTCAATGATGTCCTTGACGGCTTTGTGAATCCCTGATAGCAGATTTGATGACGTCGTCTTTCCGAAGCGGTTCTGGACCTTGACGGATACAATATGCGCCTTTTTGGCCACTCCGTAGGTCTTGGAGGCAATCGTGCCGGCAATATGCGTGCCGTGGCCCGTCTTGTCGTCGTAGTTGGGCTCGTTGCGCGGGTACGGCGACAGATCAGCCGTCCACAGGTTCTCGGCACGGCCCTCGAGCTCCTTGTGCGAGATGCGGACGCCGCCATCAATGACGTAGCCGAACGTGCCCTCTCCTGCCGTTTCGTCATAAAAGTACTCGAAGCGGCGAAGGCTGGTCTGCCAGGGGCGCGCGTGTGCGTCACGATGCGAAATGGCACGGAGGCCCCAAGGTGCTCCGGTCTGTGTTAGCTCTCGCCCAAGTACACCAAAAGGTAGCGCCAGCAAGGCAAAGGTACTGGTGAGTTTCATTTTGCCGGCAGGATGATTGCTGCAGAAAGAGTATTGTAGAGTTGATGACTATGAGTATAGGAACCTAAAGCATAACAACCATTGTGGTAAGTCTAAAGCAGCGTTTTATTCTTGTTCTTATACAAAGACGAATGGCAAAGACACAAAAGGCAAGCCAGCATAAATTTTTTGTAAAGAAAAAAACACGACTGCAATATCCCGCAAAGTAATCAATCAGTTCAGGTTAATGACGTCTGGCCACGCGAGCCACAAATATCTCCGCCAAGTATAGATACCTGGTTCTCAGCTAAGAGGCAGTGTAAGTTCTCAACTAAGAGGCAGTGTACTCGGCAGAAGCCAACGCTATCAAATGCTAGAATTATGTGAGGCCTCAGGAAGACGTACAACATGGAATCATCTGATGTCGCATTAAAAATTCAGCTCAATGTCATTTCGCTTAGTTGCGCACATGCGCGAGAGCCGCGATATCTGCATCGAGTCTATGCTATACTTTGCGCCAAGAGACAACTGACTCGTCAACTGGCCCGATTAGATAGAGTAAACTACGAGAGCGGCATATCCGCAGATATATCCCGCGAACCCACTAAGCGCCCGGCGAGCCATTCGGCAACCCAGTTGGTAACTGGTAACCGGCCCGGAAGAACGATCCACCGTAACTATACCGAGAAGAGATATATAAATCCTACATTTATAGATAGCTTAATTTTATTAACTCTTTCTCTATGATTCCAGTTACCTGGTTCATCTCTTCACGAGCCCCCCTGATTACCGCCAAGACCCCAACACGCCAACCCGCTGCATGACTCGGCACTGAGCAGAACGAAGATCTCCGGCCGGAGAAACTGTCAATGATGTAGCTTACAAAGCTGGTGGGATGATTCTAATATCACCGTTCAACGCATCAATAACCTGAACGAGATGCTATTGGCTGCCCCGAGGCTCGTAAAGCATCCACTGGTGCTGGGAGCATACCGGCACAATGGGACCATGCTACCGGTTCCTGTCCCTCTTTTCCCTTCTCTTACGTGACGGTGAATAATGTCGACTTTGGAAAACCTGCCGGGCGTGATTGTATTCATGTCTGTCTCCCTGTTAATGACTTGGATTCGTATCCATCTGCCTGTTCGTCAACAGACGCAACACTGCACGCACTTCTCTAGGCGTGAACTCGTTCCATTCCGACACAGCTCTGAAAAAGCACTGTAAAGGGTGTACTCTCGCAGCCAAACTGACTCTATTGGTCAATTTGACATGAGCATATAAGTACCCATCACCCACCTCAACTAATCTCATGTCATCGACAACAACCTAACGTGTCCTCTCCTTCTTAGCCCAGTCTTTCTCTTAAACACTCAGGCTCTCCTTCCAACAACTGATAGAGAGCAACCATGAGGCTACTTCTCTCTCATGTTGCCCTTGCCGTGACCATGGTGCACATGGGCCACGCGCTGCCGCAACAGCAAGCAAGTCAAGACGGCGAGGCAGTCGGGTAAGCAGCCACCAAGACAGAAACTATCCGCAATTATAATGGACGAGAATCTAAAAATGACCTCAATACGATAGTCACATTGTTGTCTTGAAAGAAGGCCTAGACGAAAACCACCTCAATGAACACCTTGACGCTGTCAAGGGTATCCAGAAGCGGAGCAAGCGTGATGACACTGGCGACGAAAGCGGCGTCAAGCTTGTCGTCGACGGTGCCAGCTACGGCTTCCAAGGCTACACCGGAGTATTTACTCCCGAGACACTTGAGTTCATCAAGGCTCACGAGCATGTATGTTGGCGGCCGTGGTATTGCTCTCAGAGGAATGGGCTAATTCTTAGATAAGGTTGATTATGTCGAAGAAGATGTGAACTTGTCTGAACCAACTGTTGAGACTCGAGAGGTTTCTGACACAGAGCTCGTCGTTGAGGACGAAGTCGCCGACACGGACGCCACAGATGTCCCCGCCACAGATGTTCCGGCGGTCTCTACTGGAGGTCCCAACAGGCAAAAGTCCACCATCGGCGGTACCTTGAGCTGGGGACAAGGGTAAGATGCCGTTGTAATGCCCCCAACTTGGTCGGCGGGTGCTGACTTTGCCATTCTAGATATAGCACGCTTCTCGGCAAGGGTCTGCGTCTCGACGTCGTGGTTCCCCTGACTGAGAACGCGAAAAGAGACAGCCCTGCCATGCTCAACGAGACGATTAACCCGGCAGCCCTCCTCAACGAGACGAACCCGGCAATCGCCTACAACTTTACAGCTCCCAGCGCCGACCTGACAGGGGTCGTCAATCTTCTCGAATACTTTGCCGAGCCGGACCCGGACGCCATTTTTGACAACCTTCCTGACGTGCCCGAGGCTCCGGAGGAGGGTGCCGAAGAGAACGGAAAGCGTGCGGTGGTTGACATTCCCGGCTGCACGGGTAAGATCAACACTCATTTCAAGCTGGCTGAGGACTATGAGTAAGCTTTCTTCTATACACGAGCCGAAATACGGTTTGAAATACCGCTCTCTTCTAACCGTGGGGCACCCATCATAGCTCCTACATGCACGCGCTCGATGTAAGCGCATCCTTGGCCATCTCTGGCTGGGGCCAGTCGGCAGCAGTGTCCGGAAACTATCTCGATCAAGCCAAGGCAAGTGCATACGGCAATTTGTGGGTGTATCAATGTCGCTCCTAACATGTTGCCCGCTTAGATGAGCAACGATGCTTTGACCTTTGTTGCAACCATTGAAATCGAGAAGCAGCAGGACTATGAGAACGGACGCTTTCATGCCTTGAGCTACACTCCAGCTCAGTTTCATCAAACCCATGGAGACAGATGGGTCAAAGGTAGGATTTTCTTCTTTTTTTTTTTGTTTTTTTTCCCCTTCCCAGGCCCATCACTGGTTCTTGCTTTGCTGGTGTTACATTGGACTTTTGCTGAAACGAAAAAAATAGGCTACAAACGAGGCGGCAAGTTGATGGCTCGACTGATCTTCAGAGCCAAAGACAGCAGCAATACAAGGGAGGTCAAAGCGCAGTACGTACTTGTCAAGCTCATTGCTGTTCAAGTAGATGGGAAACTTACATCTAGTCATCTGTAGTGCGGAAGCTGCCCTGCGATTCTGGGGTGTTAGCGGCGATGTAAGCGTTTCGGTCAAGAACAGCATGGAGCAAGTGGATAAGCACGCCCACGTCGACATTACCCTATTTCAAGAGGGTAATCTGGGAACATTTATGACCAGCACCGACGGCGCCGTGTCGTCTGATAAATCTAGCCTTGGTTCCGCGTCCGGATCATTCAAGCAAGTCAAGGAGTGGGCCGATCAGTTTATGCAGCAAGCTTGCAATCATAATTTTGCCTACAGGTACGTCCAAAGGGAACGGAACAAGGAAGACGCACTTTGTGTGCAACCGACCAAAGACTGACTTTTAAAACAGACCTGTGTTGGAGGAGTACACTACTCTCCCAGGTTTCCCGGCAGGCCAAAAGGTTCACGACTACGGTGTTGTACGCATCATGGTACGTTGAGGACGAGACAAGGAAGGGCATTTATGAATTAAAAAAACTAACCAGACCATCAAAACCACACAGTCTAATCGTATCTTGCGGGAACTGGTCAAGCTGTCGGAGCTCGTCTCCACTGTCACTGCTCGACTCGAAAATCAGGGAGGCTGTAAGTTTGGAGAAATGGTGTTTCTTCTTGCCTTTTTTTTTTTTTCAGATGTAAGATGTCTAATATTCCACTCACAGGGGAAGAGCATATCGATGATATGGATTTTGAGTTTTTGGATGTTGTGTCTGCGAGCAAGCAATGGGTATGTTTTCTATTTCACCTCGCTTCCAGTCTTGCCGCCGGCTTTTTTTTTTTTGGCATCGGGTATATGACAACAAGACTCCTTCAAAAATGTGCTAACTTTTCGTTTAGGTCGAAAAGGCGGCAGCAGATACGTCTACCGCGAGATGGGAGGCAAAGCAGTTGATGGTCAAGTTTCGCCTGTTCAACAGGACATACAAGAAATATCTCAGCTCGTTCTTGCCACTTGATCCTTGGCAGTTTAATCCTCACACGTCTGACCCCGACGCAGGGATTTACGAGCCCGTGCCTGCTCAGTAAGGCCTATGCTGATGGGTTTGCTTGATGATTGATGGTGCTGAGCCATTGGCCGTCAAGACTTGGCCGTTTGGCTGTTGGGACTTGGCCGTTGGCTGTCAGGGCCCATTCTAGCTTTTATCGATATATTATAGAATCTATCAGTCTTTACATGCGGTTTTATACTCTTCATTATACTCTGTACTATGCATAGCTTGTGGCACCGCGACTGTGGTTTGTCCTAGCGCATGCCCTGGCGGAATTCTAGAGGATGTTTTGAAGCCACCTGGCCATGTCCTCGATCTGTGCTTGTGAGTACACGTCATCTCATTATACCTACGTGATTTGGCCACAAGTGTTACCTTTGCCGACCCAGTAGAGCTTTCTACAGTTACTCCCCATGTTGTCCGCGATTGCGGTGTCTGCCAGAACACCTACACCTACACAAGCATGGGCCTCCCTACGCCCATAGGCTGGTGCATTGCTCCCCGACCCCGCGGGATCTACTTGTCAAGTCCTGCTGCGAGATTTCCTTGAGCGACTTGACTTGGCCGCAGGTGTTGCTCTTCCAAATGCACAGGAGCACTACGGGGTCAATGTATTTGCGGTTGAGGCCTAGAACAACTTGGCAGATCATCACCCGGAACATTGATTTCCGCCTTTCCACTAGTTTAAGCGCTAGAATGTTCGATTCATTCCAACTTATTCACACTAGCCAGATGATGAATCTTTAGCAGCCTATATGTCATCGCGACCGCAAGTAACTACCAGAAACTATTTTTAGATAAAAAAAAAAAAACACGATGAAACAGCATAATTCTTCAATGTTGGGGGCTGGCTCTCTGAAAAAAAAAATCTTTCAAGTGCATGGTAACTAACAGCTTTGGTGCCAGCCAGCCCATTCAGCGCCGAAGGTTGGTAGTCGCGCGCGCGCAAAACGCAAATTTAGTAGGAAGTGTGGTGCTGCGTTAATATGTGCCGCGGCTGGACTGGAAACGGGATGGGGAGAGTCAGGCGAAGGGAAAAAGAAAAAAAAAAAAAAAGTCCCCGGACCGACGCCTGCTCTTCTCTCCCTCGTCCCTCTGGTTGCCTCTCCCCGCCGGTACTTGAGTGAAACAACTTGGCCTGGTTTGCACCCCCGTTTGACTCGCGCTTTCTGCCATTCGCCCGAGATCAGAGTCAGGGAAGTGGTGCTGGTAAGCTAATCGTGCCATGTTAAGACCTTCTGTTGACTCGCCGGGTGTGGTCCGATGCTGACTCGTTGGCAGCCACGTAATCACGGGTGACGGGCTAACTCAAATGATTATCTGTACTAAGCTATCGTCCCCCCGGGGGGAAATCCCACTATCGACGTGACCATCTTTCCATGTTTGGCTTGCGAATAGCCCCTGTGATTCAACAGTTGTTGTGCCTGCAGAAAGGCCATCTAATGGCTCAGGCCCAGATGCTATACTTGCCTTGAGCAGCTTCTCCGATTCCAGTTGTACATCCTCATATACGCGCAAGTACGTACGCAAAACATGGTGAGCGCGCTTGTGGGTATTAGCTGGGGCAAAGGCTGGTTTCAAAAGGCAGAGGCATAAAAAAGAAAGCCCATGCCTTTGCCTGCCGAGGACGCTGAGGTCGCTCGCAGGGGGGGGGGGGAGGGGGTTGACCAACAGCGTCTGAGCAAGTCCAGGGTACTTAATCGTTCTAGCTAATTAGACCATGGAAGAAGTACTGGCAGTCTTTAGAGGAACTAGAGAGCTACATCGCACAGGTCATTATCTATCATGGCCAGAGGTAGCCTGGAACCTCCTTAACCTGATGGCAAACGACTCGTCTGATATAAGATGGCAGATATCTTATTGTTGATTTAGCTATCATTTGTTTAGATGACGTGTTGTTTATTGTAAAGTCTATCCTTGTACCTACACTAGGTCATCTGAGTATTGGTCTAGAGCTCCTCCTCGGTAGTTAAAGGCATATTAATGCTATATTGTCAGTTAATATATTCTTGTTCTGCACTTGCCTTGGTACGTCTCCGTGCAATTTCTGCCTCGTCATTCCTAACGAAGTAAGAGTCATGATTACTTGTATCTCGTCCACTCGATATATACATAGCAAGATACGACGCCGACTCAATTTGAACTCTACACTTTCATCAATCAACTCTCAGTATCAATCTCACTACTTACTCAACTTAAACACCTGCGTATTCGCCATGCAAATCCTCGCTGTGCTTCTCTTCACCTCGCTTGCCATGGCTGCCCCGGCTGCCACCTCGGGAGGGATCAAGCCCAGTGACGCTCCATGCAAGCCGGACAAGCCCATCAATCAGGAAGCTGACGTTGACGGCAACCCCAACGAGGCTCTTGTTGTCGGAAACGAAGTGGACCCGGACGAAGAAGAATATGAACCCCTCGACTTCGAGCCTCATACTCCCACCCGCCCACTCGGGTTCACTCCCCCTCCGGTGCAACACAGCCCTGAGGAGGCTCCTGTTGGCACTTACGGACAGGACGACGAGGATGAGGAAGAGATTGAACCCGCACCCCTCGACTTCACGGCTCATGTTCCCACCCGCCCATTCGCGTTCCCTCTCCCTCCGGTGGATCGCACCGCTGAGCTAGCTGGCAGTGCTTAGGAGAAGCCCAACTCTAAATGGTTTCAGGAGGCCCTTGGCAATCACGTTGCCCGGCTATTGATTTTGTCAATTCTCACCAGTACCGAAGCTTAGATAGTTTCTGCGATCCATCTTGACAATTTACTCGGTTCGCAGCTTTTGTTTCGTGTTTTGCCCAGACGTGACGTACTTCATGATAATATTGAGCTATTTTGATACCTGTAAACTCCAGCAAACGCCATTTTCTTCTCAAAGTCATGCATATTTTGATGACTTGCCAACATTGCTTGCCTGATGCGCACAGCCTTTGGCTTGTCCAAATCTTTTCTAAACCTGGGGCATCGCTGACGGAGACTCCGACTTCAGTGAGTGGTCGGCATATTTTGGTTATTACCTAGCGTATGACATTCGGTCTGCATGTCCCCTGTGCCCTTTTTTTTTCCCCAGACGCAGAAACGCCCGCTGCCTACAGTTCTTGGCGCCATTCGGGGACTACGCTGCGCAGCTCCGAGTTGGAACCAAAATTGGTAAATGAGGGCGGAAGCGGAAAAGCGGCCTGAAGGATATTTACGACGGAGTGGCTCCGCTCTGAAGACATGGGAATTCATGTGATGCGCCTCGTCAAAGATTTGTAGGTGCAGAACCTGCCTTAGCTGCGAGAGTAACAGCCATTCCCTCATTCCGCCAGTTTGGATGTGCTCTGCCTGCTCCCCTCTCTCTCCCCTCATCTGCTTTATGGAGAAGTCGGCTGTTGATTAATAAATGCGAAAATGGCGCCGCAACTGAAACAAAAGACGCGTTATTTAATATGGGCTCTTATTGAGCGTGATTTTCCAACCAAGGTAATAGTCACCCAAGCCCGCTGTATTCGGTAGTACGTACACCGTAGTTATAGCCGGGGGTGGGGGTGTTGGGGGGTGGGGGATAAATGTGCTACACGGAAATAATCTCAAACGCTGAGTCGCCTAGTCATAAACACGATGATGGAACGATTTAATTAGGAGTGGGCTTCTTTGATCTGATGTGCATACAGCCCCGCCAACCGGTTGGCCATCTGCTTTGATCGCATACTATGAAATATGCTGAAGATTAGTAATCTTTCGCAGGTGCGGATGTGCGTGCCTTGGAAACTGGCAGCCGGCAGCAGATTGCCCAACCCAGAGCTGCTTTGCCGACACCCGATAATCCCGTCTTCTTCTTCAGGATAATAAGTTGGCCATTGCTGGTCGTCTCCTGCTGAACAATCTTATCAGCGCATAAAATAATTGATTAAATTCTGGATTCTCAGGCAAGGGAGAGTCCTAGCGGGGCTGCGAACCAGACATAACTAAAATATTAGAAGTAAAGAAGGAAGAAACAAAGAAAGAAAGATAGCAAATCTATAATATATAGATAATCACGCCTAAGTATAGTTATAATAGTCTTATTAACTTTATTAGCTTCTTAGATTATTATATTTTTAATTTTTACAATTTTTAAAATAAAATAGTTATTAGCCTTATATAAATATACTATTTCTATAAACTAGTTACTTAAAAATAAAAGTATCTATAACTATATAATATTAATTATTTTATAACTTATTGCTTTTCTTATCTAAGTTAAAAAAAAGTAGTATATATTAGCTTTCTATTATAATATATAACTATTAGTTCCCTAAAAAAGGTTTATATCTCTAAAGTAAAAGAAGATTATATAACTAATGATAAAAAGATAACAATAAGCTAGTACTAGTTTTAAAATAATATAATCTATAAAAGCTTATATAGCATAGGTGTAATCGGAATCCCACGGCTAGGGGCTGCTATGTAAGACATTGATGGTGATGGTGCGCATTGCGTTGACTGGCATCAGGTCAGGTAAACGTAATCATCCTTTCTCACCCCCTGAGATCATTTATTCGTTCGTTCAACCGTTTGCAATTTTTTTTTCCAGTCTTTCAAACGTTTGAGAAATCTTGGGCTGTTTCAACGGTTTGCCCATGTATGCTTGCTTGTCTATGCCTTGTGCGCACGGCTGCGATTATAATTGGCGGCTGGGCTGGCAGGCGAAGCCGGTGTGAAACGGCCGCTAGTCTCTCTCTTTTAGACATTTACCGACGCGACTCGAGCCCGTTTATTTCATGATTCGGTTCGGCCCACTCTCTTCTCTAAAGGCAGAAAAGAGGCATGGCATTTCTGTCAAGCAGAGTACGGATAGCAGTCAACACTTGCGCCGAATCTCGTACCAGCAACTCGATGGGGTTATCTAGCGGAATGTTATCCTCGTGTATGGCAAGTGTGCTCAGTCGGTTGGCTTTGGTCGGAAAGCTGCGGAAGAGACGGTATGGGACTGACGGCGACTTTGATCTTGATCATGCGCTCTAAAGTACAATATTGGCTGTCGGAGTCCAGTGCATATACATTTATTTATCGAAAAATAGCTCGCGTCAATTACCAGAATAGATCCATGATCATACGTCATGTCAAAGAGAGGCCTGCTCCCTACAGGCACGGTCCTTCTTTCTCTAGCTCCTCTTTTCCCATTTGCCGCGCCCTAACTACGTGGAAGAATCATAATGCGGGCAGCTGACGCCTTGCGCCTGCAGCTTCTCCAGGGCATCCTTGGCCTCTTGGCGGGCCTCGTCCGTCGGCAAGTGACCATGCCACTCGACCAGCAACACATCGATCACGGTCCACGCCCGCATCTTGACCAGGTGCGGGACAATGTCATACTCGGCCCCTTCGATATCCATTTTGACAACGACAAAGTCGTGCGGCAGCGTATTCATGAGCAGCCAGCGGGCAATGTTGATAGCGGACAGCTCGGTGCCTTTGCCGCCAGAGGCGACGGCGTCGGGGTGATTCTTGTAGGTGGACGAGCCCCAGTAGTTGTGGTCCTCGTTGACCTCGTCGAGGTAAAAGGTGCGCAGGCCGTCGGTAGTGTCGACGACGGTGGAGGGGTAGATGGTGATGGCCTTGCCGACGGCGGCGTATTTTTGGCGGGCGTTCACGAGAGCGTCGTTGAAGACGGGGTTGGCCTCGAAGAGAAAGATTTCTGCAAAACTCCAAGTCAGCGATTGTAAGAAAAAGAAAGAAAAAATTGGTCGAGTTCATTTCGCTTCTTGAAGAGACTTTGGGGGCACGTACCGGCATCGTCGTGTGTCGCCCACTGCGGCGCGGGAAAGTCGTATTTTAACTTGGCTTCCGGTTCCTCCAAAAACGTCTGGAGCGAGTCGGCGCCGTTGGCGCCCAAATCAACAAAGATATACCGCGGCTTGCTCTCTTTGGCCACCGCCACTGCGGGCGTGTCTTGCTCTACCAGCGTGCCCCCGGCGGTGGATTCGGCGGCCGGCGCCGTGACGGTGACGGTGACGGTGACGGGTTCGGGTTCGGGTTCTTGCCCGGCATCCTTGGCCACGCCGTTGCGATTCCCGGAATTGAAAGATCCGTAATGCACGCTGAGATTGTTCTGCCAAAATGTGAAGAGGAGAAAGATGGCGACGATGAGGACGACGGCCATGGGGACGGCGTTGGACTTGGCAGCCATTGCTTCGCGAGTATTGTATAGGGGACGTGGACTTGGGTAATGAGCTTTGTAAAACCGCAAAAAGGGAGGCCAGCCAGCTGCAGAGAAAGAAGGGGGTAAATGGACTATTATGCAGAGTTGGGATAAGTGTTCCGCGATTCTGTACTGTGGAATTGTTTGGACAATCCGACCATGGGAGAGCTTGCGAGACAGACCCAAGTGCCAAGCAAGTCTGAGGAGACTTTGGTCCCTTATTTTCTACTCGTGGCTTCATACAAGTTGTGGTGGCTCTTGAAAAGACAAATCGACTCACTAATACGCACTCTATTGTATGGACGTCGGTCTGATTCGTGGTAATATGCTTCATGTTTCAAGAGCCCCGTGTTTAAACGTCTCCATCGCCATTAGGCATTATTCTCTCTACAACAGCCTGACTCATTTCTCTCCTAAACTCAAAATTGCCGATCCTACAAGGTTATTCCGTCATGCCTCTGTGTCGAGGTAGTTTTGGCTATGCATTAGGCCAGCGCAGCTCAAGCGGGCCGCGACTTACACGTCTGCGCAGCAACGGAGCCAAGAGTTCACCTTACATCCATCTTTGTCTTTTATTCATCTTCGTCTTTTATCCATCTTCTTTCTTATCTCTCATTTCTACTTCCATCGGCCTTACTTTTATACTTTATAGACTTTTACCAGATAACGCTCTGCGTATTAGTCGCCGCCAACATCGCCTTCCTATAGGCACAACACGGCAAGACGGGCGGCTTAGCCAAGACCTAGCTCTCCTCGTCCTCTGCGACGCGCAGCTTCCAGCTCACCTTCTTTCTGCCCTACACCATCGCCGTCGCCGCCAACTAGCTGCAAGGCCCGCACATCTACGCCATCTACAAGTACGAAAAGGCGCTCCCCGAAAAGACCGTCGCCGCGCTGTACGCCACGGGCTTCGCCGCCGGCGGCCTCAGCGCTTCCTTTACCAGCTCCCTCGCGGACCGCTTCGGCCGCAAACGCGCGTGCTTACTCTACTGCGGCCTATACGCACTCGCCTGCCTGTCCATGCTAAGCGGGGACTTGCCAGCGCTATTTGCCAGACGAGTCGCGGGCGGCGTGGGCACGACGCTACTGTTTAGCGTGTTTAAGGCCTAGATGATTTCCGACTACCACCGACGCAGGCTAGGGGCCACGACACTAGCACTAGACGATTATGCAAAGGGTGTAGGTGAGGATGAGGAGACGGCGAGGGAGGGAGACTTAGATCGGGAAGGGTACGAGGATAAGGGTGCGGCTAGGTCCATGTCGCTAGATGCCGTCTTTAGCACCATGACGACGCTGAGCTGCATCGTGGCAATACTATCCGGAGTCGTTAGCGATACATTAGTCTCGATATCAGGGACGAGACAGTGGCCGTTTATTGCAGCCATAGTTTACAGCGTGGTAGCCGCTTACATCATCTCATTTACCTAGGTACGTTACGCCCAGACAGCCTAAAGCTTACCTCTACTAAACTCTCGACCAGCGCGAGAATAACGGCCTCAAGTCCGACAGCGATCACAATTCCAGCCAAGTGCATACCAGTAGCCGCTTCTATTTTCTCCGTGATCCCCAGATCCTCGCCCTCAGCCTCACCACCTACATCTTCGAGGGCACCACGTATCTCTTCATCTTCTTCTAGTCCGCCACCCTACAGAATACACACGACACCGGCTCAGGCACCGCCACGTCTAGCGAGCTGCCATTTAGCCTCATCTTTTCCAGCTTCATATGCACCATGCTAGCCAGGTCTGCCATGTTTTCACATCTACGTGCCGGCAGCGCAAGCACATCAAATATCTCCTCAGCATTCTCGTCATCGTCAGGGGCTGCCTCGGCTTCATTATTAATATGCGGGATAAGCGGGTGCTGTTTTTGGTATTTTGTATCATTAAGGGCTATATCAGTGCCTACTTTCCCGCCATGGCCAGTCTCAAAAGCCAGCTAGTGCATAATGGCATCCGCGGCCGAGTATATAGTGTACTCAGAGCGCCGCTCAACGTCTTTATCGTCGTTGCGCATTGTCTTAATGAGGAAGGTGAGAACATAGCAACCGTTTCCTTAAAAGTGCTCCCCCATTAACAATCTATAGGGAGTCGGCATCGTAACAATGTCTTTTTGGCCTGTGCAGGACTTCTGCTAGTTACATATTGTGTTGCAAAACGCCACTTTCCTAAATAGCAAAGCTCTAGTCACAGCATGCAGCAGAGCAGTCTTAGCATTTATCACGCGCCCAAAATACTCGAGTGACATGAGAGGCTGGTAAAAGGGCGTCAGGCTAAACTCGTAGCACTGCTTGACTTACACGTTGATGCTGGCAGTCTGTCAAAGTATTCACAATTGAGGACCTGCCTGCGTCCCCGAGCCGCGCATTGTATTGTCCGAATGTGAACTTGTGCTGGAAGCCCCCCCTGCCAATCGTCGAACAACAGGTTAGCTGCTTCCTACCTTCCGCCCATTATTATATAAGTACCAGCCAGGCAACGAATGTCTAACCTAACTTACTACCTAATAAGTAGACTAGCTATAGATTAAGATTAAGTAAATATTATAAAAGGTACCTACTAGTAACGTTAACCTAGTTTTATTAATAATCTTATAAAATTAAATAATCTTAAAAATCTAATAACTTATTATAACGTGGTTGATAAGCGAGTCACGTAGATAAGCGA